AAATGCCCGTACGCTCTCATCTTCATCTTGAGCCATTGTTTCAAGGTCCTTGATGGAATACTTGTTATCCTCCAATTTGTAAAGCTCAACAAGGCTCTTCTTGTACGTAGTCCATTTCCCATCCTTCGGTCGAGCTTCCTTAACTTCCCTACCGAGACTTGGGTCCACATTAAATAGGAAGTTCTCTATAATATCTTCCTCCGACCACTGACTCCGGCTGGCGTGAAGCTCCCACTTCTCCAGATATTCAGTGATACCATAACCCCTGAAGGTAGGAGGCTCTGAGACCTTGTGCGTAATAATATAGCGGTCCTTGCCCTCGTAAGGAAGCGGATGTGACTCCCCTGTCTGGGGATCGAAGACCCGCCTGGGCGGCGCCCTGTCTCTATCTCTGTCCCTCCAACATAAATCCCTCAAGCTCTCTCTCTAGTCGTCTCTGTGCCTATCCGCTATGGTGTCCCTCCGCTCGTACTCGGGGGAGCGTCGTCTCGTCGTCTCTCGTCGTCCGCTCGAGGTACCCGTCCTTAGAGCCTCCTGCGGCTCTGTTGTAACAGGTTCGCCTCTTACGTCGGACCCTCCGTCATTGGTTTGGTCAGCCCATCTCAGCGGCGCTTCTTGCGTAATTCGTTCCTTCAGTTCTCTCAGAGCTCGGGCGGACGATGTCTTATACTCCTCTCCCGCTTCGCCCATGGTCGGTTGTGGCCCCATCGTGTCGGGTTCCATTACACCTCCTGAAGACGCAGTCAGGTTTTCTTGCCAACTGTTACAGCCCGACCCTATGACAGTCGTTGTAGCCCGGACCTGTGACAGATGCGGCAGCTCGGACCTGTGACAAATGCGGCAGCCCGGACCTGTTTTCTTGTCACGGCTCGCGTCCGCCTTCAAACTTAGCTCTCAACTGCTCTGATTACCACTTCCAGTATCCCGTACCGGTCGCGGATCTCGCACTCTCCCTCTATCCCAACAATCCCCATGTCTAAGTAAACCTCTCCTTTGGGATCGGCCTACAAGGCCGTGCCTTTTCGGATCTGCAGTGCACCCGTTACAGGACCTCTATCCTTGAGACAGATCGGGGTCCCAAACCTAGCCAATGTCTCCTGATCAACACCCCTCAAGAGTCTCCGAGCGTCTCTCTCCGTCCTCCTTGCTAGTTCTCCTAGCCCTGGTTAGTCCGCTAAAGGCCCTTCTACTACCATCCAAAGTCGCCCATCGACCTTTCTGGCTTCGACTATCCTTCCAAGAGCTTCCAATTTCTATTTCCACTACCTTATCTCCTCAACAGTTATGAGGTCATCTGTCTAACAGCTGAGGTAAGTTAGTGCTATAACGGCCTGTAGCCTCATCGCCGACCGTTCCAATATGTCATAAAATGTCTCAAAGTCCTCATTATCTCCCCTTTCGTCTATCGCCTCTAAAGTCTTCATCGTTTCCTTCCAGTACCGGTTGTGAGCGGCTAACACCCTGAGTATTGCACCATCTGTTACTACTCTCCCTAACTCTCCARCTTTCCTGGCTTCGCTTRTCTTCAACCTYTCAGCCTCTCTGGTYGTCTCATACCATGCCCTTATCCGAGACCGCCCTTCGAAAGGTGTCTCTTGGAGCACATATTTAATCCTCCGTCCTTCTTCTATTCCAATCCAAAGTCCTGTCCCCCTTGCCTCGCGCAGGGCACGGCGGATACACTCTGCCTCCTCAACTATGCGCAGTTTGGTATGGAGTTGGAGCTCTACGATCACTAACACCAATGGTCCGTCCAATCTCCCTACCACATGCAATGAGTACTGATCCGTCGTGTGTACTGCTGTCCCGCTCATGTCCTGTCGCTACTTCCCTGCGTTACTTTGTCTTCCGTTGTCTCGCTCTCTGCAGATTGCTCACTAGTTTCTTCGCGTGATACGCTTCTAGCCTTTATCCTCTCCAGAAAGTCTGATCTCCACGCTTGGATAATCTCTCTTTTTTCCCTAAACAGTCTCCCTAACTCTCTCGTCACGAGTTCAGCCCTACGCAACTGGCCCTCGTCTTGACACGACCAGATCTCCCTTAACTTGTCCCCTAACTTCTTTACCTGGTTCAAGAGTGGTTCTTTAACGCGCTTTCTCACTCTTCCGACTGCCTCACTCTCCTCTTCCATACTCAATACACATCTTTCTCCAGCTGACCCTCTCACCCTCGCTCTAGCTTCCGCTACCGTCTCATCGTGGTAGTGCTCCGCGCGCATATAACCATGAGACCATATCATCACATCATAGGATATCGAGGTTTGGAAGGTCACTCGTGCCAGTACATCAGCTCTACGTTCGTGGATCAAATCCCTAGCTCGTTGTCTGCACTCAGTCGCCGTCAAGTCCTCATCTACGTACGCTCGGAGAAGTACTGTCACAGTGTATCCTGTGCTTACGAGTTGCTCTTCTACACGCATTACCGTGCCCGTCCTCCCCGACATTCCCTAAGCTGCGACCTCGAAGAGAAATCTCGCGTCTTCTAGCCCCGCGTAATCGATCTCTGCTTGTCTCCTGCAGTACCTAATCAGATCGATAGGCCTCAGACAGTCCACCTAGCTTGTAACATCTATGATGTCGTCAAGCGTCTCTCTACTGGGCGGTCCCCACCTCACACAAATGGCGTAGTATACTTCCTTGAAGCGGGGCGCTAAGCCCTCCCAGAGCGCGTAAAGTGTGTGATCCACTGCTCTCCTCAAACGATCCACGCTGCCATAGGTCTGCGCTATAACGAAGGTAGGAACTCCGAATCGCCAATCCTTTCTCGGGTAGAGGGTCGGATGTGGTGCACCGTATACCAAGCAGCTTCTACTCGTCCTCCCTCTAGCGAGTCTCGCCAATTGCTGATTAACGATCACTCCTGCTCGCCCCTGCGAGCGTTAGCCCTATCTCTAAATCGTGTGTTCTATCAGCTATTAGATGTCCGACCCCTTCTAGATCATGAGTCCTCGGGTCGTTCGTCTCGGAGTATCACTGTCCATAGGAAGAGCCCCTCTGCGAGCCTCGTTCCCAAGTATCGTATCGGTACTCGCCCTGGGCTGAAACCTCTTTAGGTTGAGTAAGGAGAGTGGGTTGAGGTTGAGTCGTATACCGACGAGTCGACAACCGACTTATCTGTGAGAACAGAAGGTGATCCTTGTAGGATCAAGCTGAATCTAGCGGGAGTCCTGAAACAATCGATCAACGGGACCTGTAACACAAAACAGGCCAATTCCAAACTAAGTCTATAGGCCTCTAGAGGGTAATCTATATATCACGATCCCACTCAAATCATCCTAGTTAACTAGGCCCAAGTCTATCTCTAGATAGCACTCAGCAAAAGGTGAATCTCATCATAGTCTCCCCTACTAAATTAGGAAACTCAGCAAAAGGTGAATCTCGTCATAGTCTCCCATACATATGTCGCCACCTGTCCAAATATAGTCTAACTCCTCTAAATTAGGAAAATTTCGGCAGCTCTTTCCGTAGGGAAAGTGCTAGTCCAAGATTTATACAAGACCAAGTTTGGAATCTTGAAAATGACTTTGATCCTTCAGGGCCTAACTGTGGCCAACTCCCTGAACTAGTAAAAATTTGGGCAGCACCTCCTTTGGAAAGGGAGGCTCCTCAGATTCTCACTAAGTCAAAACATCATCAAGGCCGGATTCTGAAAGAGTCAAAGTTTTGACTAACTCCTTGATTTTGTAAAAATTTCGGCAGCGCCTCCCGTAGGGAAAGTGGCTTACCAAGATTTATACAAGACCAAATACGAATCAAAAGGTCCCAGAAATGCAGAAATTAATCGAAGTAAAAAAACGAGCCTAGAAAATGCAGGAAATGACTAACTCCTATGGCTCTAGCACGTGGCGAGCAACTACAGCAACTACCTATCAAATCCAACCTCAGACTAAGAAGTGGCATCACCCAGTCACATGCCGGCCGAACCACAGACATGCGCTCTCTCGCCATCCCAAGTTACCTTAGCAAACAATAATTCGTAGTTTTTCAATGATTTATCCATTATACACAGCTTACATAGGGCATAAGGCTAGACCACGCAAACTTATGGAACATGTCTAGCTCAGCCAAGGAAGTATACACAAACACAGGGCACAACAACTTTTCTCTTCTTTGGGCATATGGCTAGGCCACCCTAGCCGCCCTGAACTGTTTAAGTATCCAAGATTTATATAATTGCCTGTACTTAGTCTTTTGAGGTAGCATATAGCTGAGCCAATCATCTTCAACTCAAGACTCAGCCTGCCCCTTCGTACCACGAGTTTATTCTTAGTTAAGTACTCTCTTCAGTTGGTGATAAGCTATAGTCAGGCCACCCAAACTTATGGAACCCTGCCTGACTAGCCTGTTCCTAGATAGTATAATAGTAAAGTATATCAAAGTTATAGCCTTCCGGTTCCAGCATGTGCGAGGCGTTGGACCAAGACCACCCAAACTTATGGAACGTGTCTTGGTCCTCAACCTGGTTTATTTCTCTCTTAGACCAAAGCAGGAAGAGGTAGAGCCACCCAAACTTATGGGACATGCTCACCTCCTCGTTCAGAAACCAAAGAAACTGTCAAAACCCCCAAATAACCAAGGTCGCCAGACTACCCAAACTTATGGATTTGACTGGTGCTTGAAAAAGCAATCACATTCATCCCTCACGAGTCAGAGCAACCAAACCACCCAAACTTATGGATTTATCCGGTTCTCCATGCAATCCAAAAGTAAACATAGCACTGGGCCTTCCCAAACTCATGGAACTGGCCCAGCCCTTGGTCGACCCGTTCAAACTCCATGCAATACTGCCTTTCTCCCACCCTTCCCCCAGATGCAACCCCACAATCTGCTTTCAATCAACCAAAGAAGTTGGAACTTGACTTTATACATGCATTCTTTTACTTTGTCTGGTTATGTCCTGAATAGATAACAAGATTTATAGGGACAAGCAGACATACATCAATCAAGTTATAGTGGGATATGCAAACATAGGTGTAGTGGGATGTACAACTAGGGGTGGTATACCTGATGGTTCCCTGCCTCCAGAACCTTGCCTAGGTTCCGGCAAAGCTCCCGGAATCGGTGGGATGACTCCCCACAGAGTCTTGGCGCGGACCTACGGGTTTCAATCCCGCCTGCCGCCTTCCTCTCGTAGCCTTAGACTAGACCTAGAATAAGAAGGGTAGCAGTAGAAAGATTAGACTCTCGAGGATCCAGGGGAGGTGCTCTCAACCTCACGAGAGAGGGCCTTGTTACCTTGATGCGCCTGAGGGCCCCGCAATGATGACCAAATCACACCGCTGCTGGTCAACTGAAGTCAAACTGCCGGCAAGCGGTATTCTGACAAGGCCTCGAGTCGCAGCGATAACCCCGTTCACACTTTGGGATAGTCCAATAGTGGCGAGTAATAATATGTAGTAACTAACAACAGCAGTCCGCGCGCTGCAGCATTTCTCAGCAGTCTGTAGCGGTGGCCTGTGCACAACTCACAGCGGTAGGCAACAATATGCAATAACCAGTAACCGGCAGCAACAGCAACCAACAACAGCTGCAACAGCCCTCTATACTACCGTCTGTAGACAACCCTGCAATGCCCGCATACGACAGTCCCACAACAGGGTTCGAGCATGTTACACAGCCTAGAAAGAACTGCGTTTCGAATAGAGCAACCCCCGTGAATAGAGCACACCCCCGTGCTCTATTCAGATGCAGGCTGCAATAGCCCAGCACCGCTGTGGCGCACGATGGCGGTGTTCAACGACCAATACTGCCTCCCACAGTAGCAGCACCCAGGATGCACAGCGGCCGGTACCGTAGCTGCCCAATAACTCGTCAGAACCCAGTCCGTAGTGATCACCTGCTGAGAAAGCATGGTGGCGACACAGCCGCGGTAACAGCGGCCAACTACTGCTGGAAACAACCGCTGCCCCCTTTGAGATCACAGCAACGACTCCACAACGACAATTGCATCTCGCGGTGTAACTTCCGACCCGTCTAAGTATCGGCCCCTGCAAATGTGTGGCAATCGAGTGCCCAGTATACCACAAGCTGCTAGAACAGACTGCAGGGTGCACAGCTCGGCAGCGCTATACAGTAGTAAGCTCAACAGAGTTTCAGCAAATGTCATGCCGCAACGATATGACCTCGCCTCCTTCCTAGCGGAACATCAACAATAGCGCACAGTCTATCCGTGTTGAAACAGGGGCCTGTTTGTGAGCTTGTGACCTACGGGGACCGGCCATTGGTAGTCCGCAAACATCTCCAAACCCCTCGCTCTACTCT